TGACTAGCGTTCACTTCCACAGTCCGGCTTACTGACTGGCTTAATTGCAAAATCCGGGTCAACCCCTCGGAGATTGAAGCAATTAGCACACGAACTAAGCCAGGAAGCTTGAAAAACGGCTGCAACAGGCTTGCAGGCTGGAGTACAGGGTGGAGGTGGTGAGGGTAAGCGGCTAGCTACGGTTCACCTTTGACCTGCCAGCAACCCACAAACAGTCTTCTAATGTCTTGAAATACCCTTAAATGCATGCTCACACCGCTGCCACCATTTATCATGTGGGGTTCGAACACGTGGATAGGGTAAAGAAATACTCACGCAGGCTGGTAGTACGTATATTACGGATAGTGGGAAGCACCAAACAGCCGTGACCTGCCTCCTTGCTCTCACTCGTAAGACTGACTAACCCCAGTACCCATATGTGAGGGGGTGTTTGAAATACTGCTGTGGTCAGCAGCAATATGAATACAGACAGTGATTCACGCAGAGACGGTTGGTAGTGAGTCATCTACTGGTACACTGGTTACTGGTAACTGGTTACTAGGAACTGGTACTACTACTGAGACCACCTGGAGAATGAAGTGGTAGAGGCAGGATCCATACATAGTTTTAAGAAGTATGATAAGACTCTCGAAGCCAGGAAAGAGTAGGACCAGCGATGAGGAGGGGCCAGGAGCTGTGAATCAACCCCTGCAACCACAAATGAGTACACGCAAAACACACACCAACAGCAGCAAATGCGCGTTTGTCATATCTAATATTAGCTTTCAGGAATCACAACAAGGAGTCATTCAAGACATTATAGAAAGCGTGAGGCCCATCCTGGAGTATACAGCACCAGTGGGGAACCTGCGCCAGATCAAGCAAACTGTGGAAAGTGCAGAGGTTTCTAACGAGACTAGTCCTGGAGATAAGGGACATTAACTATGATGAACCAGGAGCGACATAACATAAAATACTCTAACCATACCACAGTTGGGGTTTGAATCCGCGATCAGAGAGTCTCAAAACTCCAGACCGTCCCGTTAGCCACTGTTTTGAGACTCTCTGATCGCGGGTTCAAACCCCACCCGTGGTATGGTTTGTTTGCAATCGTGTCATTACGATTTCGTGAGTCGTAAAATACTCAGAGGGCTTAATTAATTAACAGCACTAACGGAGACAGTCTGAAATATTGAAAAAGAGGTACACAGTAAACAAATGAATCTTGTAATCCCAGAAGATTCGCAGGGATGTCAGGAAGCATTTCTTCAGCCTTAGAGAGGTCAGGAAGTGCAATGATCTGGAAGACGTAGTGATAACGCCATAATCTATAAGAAGTCAGGAGAGTGTGAACCCAGTAACAGCTAATTTAAAAGGCAGGACCGGGAGCTGAGACTCGACTTCTGCGACTATAATTAGATGAATGCCAAACACAACTGTCTGAGTGTCTATCGACAAGTACCTATGGCAACAGTTAATACACGTTCACTAGGGATGTTGCACATGTGTCTTAATTTCATCACTGATTCACACTCACACACTCACATTCACACACACACACACACACACACACACACACACACACTCACACACACTCACACTCACACACATCACACACTCACACTCACACTCTGTTTCTTAATTTTACTCACTTTCAGAGCGCCGAGCCTCTCGTCCGAGGATAGTGTCATCCGTGGTGAAGGCTAGACCGTCCCTACACACCATCTCAGGTCTGACCTTACAGCTAAACTTTATAATAGGCTGGTTAGCGAGGTTTAAGTCCTATCCCCTACACTAGGGTAATTAATTAACCCTTGTTAGCAAGTTATGCATTACACAGATAACCTGCACATGGGAGAAACAAAATTATAATGACATTTCGGGTTATTTTTGCATCGTTGCAGTCAAGCCATTCTGCCTTGATATTCGTTAAGTAATGCAATTTCTTTTGAGACCTAATTAAAAGGCCTCTAGTCAATAGGGAAAAATTCTTAGCATTCAAAAAATGACCATTTACATGCGGAAATGAAGAGTTGAGATGGTGAAGGGCTCTTCATCTAGGGAATTGGATCTGTGCTCCAGTTCCCTGAATTAAGCCTGAATACCTTCCCCCACCCCACAGGCGATGTATAATCCTACGGGTTTAGCGCTCCCTCGTGATTAAAATAATAATAATAATAATAATAATGTAGACTTGGCCGAGGCTGGTTCCCAGTCGCTAGTCAGCAGCAATAATAATAATAATAATAATAATAATAATAATAATAATAATAATAATAATAATAATAATAATAATAATAATTGTTTTGACTCACTTTTGAACATTTATAAAAAAAATTAACAAGCTATGGGGAAAATGATAAGAGTAAAAAAGGTTTTAGAATGTGGCACTTTACAATGTACTAGATGTACGTGAAAATCCCTCCAGTACAGTGTACTTGCCAACAATGGGTCTTTAAGGTTATATGTCACCTATTCACCACAGGTCAAAAATGCTTTAATACCAAAAATAGGAAATAAGGTATTGTCTCAGTGTATATACACTGAGAAAAATACCTCTCGGTGTATATATCGTGTGTTTATCTACATTAAACAGCATGTACTAAATTTAAATAGTTGAAAATGTGTATATGATACCAAAATTTAGCTAGGCTCCTTCAGTTTCTAATGTAAAATTTGCATACTTTCAGAATTCTTGTGAAAATATTTATGTATATTATGACAGTCTACGACAGCTGGTCGTTGGTATATTTACTTTTATAATAGTTATCAATAAAAGTACTGAAAGAAAACTAAAAAGTACAATACATAGAAAATGTATTTAAGTATGGTAGACTATGATAAATTTTATGGGTCTGTAACTATACAAGTAAGTTCAGATTATATTTCACTCCCAAGTTTAAATTTTAGCAATTGTGTTATATAACAACTTGTATGTTAATTACTCTTCTAATACACAGGTTATATATACTGAGAGGTGTATATTTCTCACTGTATATACACTGAAACATTAATCCCCATTTAATGAGTTCAAGTATTCTTGATTATTTTTGAAGAGGTGACAATGCAGCTTTAATGACCCCTGGTGTAATCGACAGGTTTCAAACAAGTCTCTTAACACATGTTATCCATGTTTAGGTGAACAGGAGAGATAAACAGATACCCGAGTTATTCCACTACCTTAGGTGGTATCCTGAGGAAGAGGGCATAAGGATCTCACTGGCTAATAGCCCTCCAGGATTAATAATCCGATTTTGTAAAATATTTTTTAGAATAAAGGACATAACTTGTCTCGCTGTTAAGTTGGGTAGTTTACATATAGCATTGCTCAGTATGAGAACATGAGAATCAAAGTTTATTCTCTATAAAGGTTACAATGTGGGATTTACATATTATTAAATATTGGTTACAGTGTGTGGTTTACATATACAATACTAATGCCTAGTCATGCCTAGCATGACTAGGCATTTCGGGCAGACTAAGAATAATTCAAACCCTATATTGATACAGGTTATGGAGCATATTGATATTAAAGCTAGGTAACCGCATTACAGTTTGTAAATTTAGCAATGTGAATGGTTTTGTCTTGGCATGAAACATAGTTTCTATTGAAGCTCCTAAATTGGAGTATCTCAGGCAAACTTATGACTAGTTTAGGATTCGTTAGGTAATAGCTTTATTACGTAATTTTACGTTTGGGTGAGTGTGAGTGTAAATTGGGGGGAATCACAGATATCTGGTGGGCAATTTACACAGCCTTTGACTTACATTTCCTGCATTTTTTGTTGCCTTAATTAAGAACTGCAGAATTTTACCAGCTAGTGATCTCATGTCCTGAACTCTATGTATTGCGAAATACTTTATCGAAAGCATCTCAATCAACTTATTTTAACGGCGCTGTTGTTTTCCAGTAAGTACTGAAGGCAGTAATGACAGATCTTCTCTGGAACTCCATGAAGACCTTAACAGGTGGTCCCAGATGGAAGGACCAGTGCAAGACCTCCAACCAGTGCCTACACCCAACAGGATCAAGTTTGATATTAAAGCTCTCGATCGGGCGCTGTCTAATCTCCTCAGGATGGTGAGTAGGATCTTGTGGGATCTTTACATGCCCTTCCAGGAGGAGGAACGCCACATCTATTATCGTTTATCTAGTCTATCGAGGGAAATCTCTCTGAAAGATCTATTTATGGGGTCTTAAGAGTCCTTGTTTCGGGAGGGTATTTCTTCTCTGGGTTTTCGTCTCTTCTAAACTTCTCTGAACTTTCTGACCACAAGTAACAATGTTATCACTGCCAACTCTTGCACTTGGGCCCTAACTTTTCTTCTCTGATAGATAACTGGTAACTGCTAACCAGTCTTCGTTGTGATGTAGTTCAGCTGGGTTTGTGAGGTCTCTGGGGAGACCTAATTTAACCAATTATATGGTCACACCTTGCCTTGGCAAACTTCTGTCAGCCACGCCCACGTCTGAGGTCTTTTGTTCTTGACGGCATCAGACCTAGGCGTCAGGTCGTACACGTGGTTGTGGAGGGTGCTTGGACCACCATAAAAGCCCAAGGAAGAGCATGATCAGGAGATTCGTGCGGAGCTGCTGCTGGGGTGCAGAGCTCCTGAGCAGAAACTTCGAGCGGAGCTGCTGCTGGGGTGCAGGGCTTGGGAGAAGGCTGCTGAAGTCTCTGGAGGAGACTGTTGGAGGCAGTGGGCAGAGTACTGGCTTGGCGCAGTACTCGTGCTGTGTAGGTCTTGGGACCTGGGGCTTAGTTCCTGTAGTGAACTGTCCTCTGTACTATATTGTAAGTTACATTCAATTTCGGCCAGTAATTGCTTCCCCCAAAAGTCTCACCCAAATACTGATATTCTCCACCATTTATCTCTAACCAACAACCAACTCCACCAAATATAATATTACACCCAAACAATTATTTAGACCCACCGTCAAAAAAGGACAGTTAAGGTCACTAGGATTATAATATCATACAGATATTCACTTTAGATTTTACACACACAAGAAAAAAAAAAGTGGTAGCAAATGGTAGCATAACAAGTATAACCGAGCAGTCAAAAATAAGGCACATGGGACTGGTTCCTACTATAAAAATAATAAGAACCACCACCGCTTAGACACCATGTCATGTAGGGGGGTGATGATTAGGGGAATATGGGGGTAAGCGGGGGGAGTCAGTAGGTAGGGGACAGGCGAGGTGGTAGGAATGAGGTAGGTAGATAATGTAAGGTCACTGGTGACTACGACTTCACCTCTCATTACTCTACCCACCACACTACACTCCCTCTCACTACATGAAATAAAATAATGAATAAAATAGCAAATAACGGGGACCGTGAATATTACTATTCTACTCAAACACAGTTTATTAAGTCCTTGTACAATAATATATTTGGGAACAGGAGAACATTATTGTGGTTTAGATAAATGGGATGGTATGTAAGCAGTGAGACAGGGAACACAATCAACTTGACCAAAATGAATGTAACTTACAATATAGTACAGAGGACAGTTCACTACAGGAACTAAGCCACAATGCCTCCAACAGTCTCCTCCAGAGACTTCAGTAGCCTTCTCCCGAGCCCTGCACCCCAGCAGCAGCTCCGCTCGAAGTCTCTGCTCAGGAGCTCTGCACCCCAGCAGCAGCTCCGCACGAATCTCCTGATCATGCTCTTCCTTGGGCTTTTATGGTGGTCCAAGCACCCTCCACAACCACGTGTACGACCTGACGCCTAGGTCTGATGCCGTCAAGAACAAAAGACCTCAGACATGGGCGTGGCTGACAGACGTTTGCCAAGGCAAGGTGTGACCATATAATTGGTTAAATTAGGTCTCCCCAGAGACCTCACAAGCCCAGCTGAACTACATCACATCGTTGCGTCTGCATAACTTTGTCAATGTCTCTGATACCACTCTTGTAACACTAACAACATATCTCTTCTAACACTTACCTATCTTCTTTGCTCTTCTTGACAGACCGGGGAGCCTATGGACCCACAAATGTGGGAAGGCTCCACCCACACACTGACAGACGTCCCTTCCACGCCTCCGCCCACACCTGCAAGTTACGTCCACGACAACGAAGAATATCTTCCCCCGCCCAGAATCGTGATGGGGCCACCCCCGCCCAAGCCACCCAGGGTAAAGATTCCCATCAATGAGGCTTTAAAAGACCAAAGAACACATCTCTCAAAATCGATGGGGAACCTCACGCAGGAGATCTACTTCAGTGACCACGACAACAGCTCTCAAAACCACCATTCGCCCCTCTCAGCTCGAGTTCTCGGTTCTGAAACTTCTTTGAACCACCACCCAACCCTCTCAGCTCACACCGCTACCTCGGGTGATGGCGTGGAAGCAAGTGAAAGAAAGCAGAATATTTTCCTCTTCGCCTTCAGAGGGAAAGGGATGAGGGATCGCGTCCGTGATTTCACGAAGAAGAAGAAGGCCAAACGAATCAAGAGTGTGGACATCAGCGAACCTCAGGACTTCAGACACCTAATAGGGTCGGCACTGACAAAACAAGATGCCGGGCAGGAGAATGAGAACAATTCACGAAAGAGATTCGAAGAGATTCTTGTCTGGAAATCACCGGAAATGATGCCCGAACTTAAAGTCTTGAGCCCAACAGAAATGACAGCAACAGACGAAACGGACTCAGGTTTAACTGCTGCAACAGGCGACCCGGACTCAACAGACGAGATGTACTCAACAGATAATAGTGATTCAACAGACGATACAGCAACAGAGGACACTGACTCAACAGAAGGTGCGGCAACATATGAAACTGATTTAATAGAAGCTGCGGCAACAGACGACGCTGATTCAACGGGAGCTACAGCATCAGACGACGCTGATTCAACCGAAGTTACGGCATCAGACGACGCTGATTCAACCGAAGCTACGGCAGCAGAAGACACTGACTTAACACAAGCTACGACCATAGCCCACGCTGCCCTGACTAGAGCTACAACAGAAATTACAGCAACGGACAACACTGGCTCAATGAGCAACAAGGCAACAGACGACAGTGACGCAACAGAAGCTACGACAACAGACAACAGGACCGAGACCAATACATGACACAACAAATGCAATAAAATATTGCTAGGTACAAAAGAAAGCCACTAACATGAGGTGTATTAACATACAGTATCGAGATACAACTGTATACACGTGCTGTAGGAGTTAATTATATCAGGATTCACAGATATTACTTATAATTGACCCAATTAAGGGTCTTTTTTCAACACTGAAATCACTAGGCTGTGTTCAACACTGCATCCAGTCATTCCTTGGAATTATTCTACAACACACAAATTTCAACAGAAATTATACATTATAATATATATGTATGTATGTATATACTGATTGTGCAACCTTGAAGAAGGTATACACTCCGTGTGGTGTATATACACCGAAAGATGGGCACCTCTTGGTGTATGTAAGATGAGAAATACACACCTCTTGGTATGTATACGCTGAGAGAAACATCCTTCGGTTAGTATACACAAAGTATACTCCAGGTATACTCCCTCAGTGCATACACATTGCAGTTGCATAGTTGTATTCATACAAGTGCCCACAGGGTATATCCTGTTGCAACACACTGACCAGCTTCTCCAATATATATATATATATATATAACAAAATTTTGTATAATTTAATAATGATATATAGAAGGTTACTACCATGTTCAGCATTTTAGTCGCTCTATACGAAGCATGCTTACGGAGAAGAATTCTTTTCACTTCCCGTGAGATAAGAAAATAAAGACAGAACCAAAGAAGAATATAGAAGAAACTCACATGAGCGTGTATACATGTGTGTGTTGTTATTGATTAAATACCACTCGTTCGTGTTTACAATCACATAAAATACTGCTCGTTGAGGCTAGTACACCAAACGGGGAGGAGAATGAAATTAACTCAGAGGCACCCACACCACCGTATGTCCTCGAATCAAGGTAAAACACCAAGCTCTGCTGGATGCCTGATTCTTGCAAGATTTGGTAGTCCTGTGGGTTAGAGCGTCATGTGATTTTCGCTCACCATGAGGCGGGCCAAAACGACATGGGTTCGAGTCCTTGGCTAGTCGCAGTGTTGTTACTGACATACGTGTACAGGCATGTGTAGTGTAACCTAAGTGTTTGTAGACGTAATAAGATATACCTGTTATCCCATATGTTTATGAGACAGTAAAAGGCTGGCAGACAGCAGCCACCCAGGGAGGTACTACCATCCCGTGGTAGTAGGTTGGTAGACAGCAGCCACCCAGGGAGGTACTACCGTCCCGTGGTAGTAGGCTGGTAGACAGCAACCACCCAGGGAGGTACTACCGTCCTGTGGTAGTAGGTTGGCAAACAGCAACCACCCAGGGAGGTACTACCGTCCTGTGGTAGTAGGTTGGCAGACAGCAGCCACCCAGGGAGGTACTACCGTCCTGTGGTAGTAGGTTGGCAGACAGCAGCCACCCAGGGAGGTACTACCGTCCTGTGGTAGTAGGTTGGTAGACAGCAACCACCCAGGGAGGTACTACCGTCCTGTGGTAGTAGGTTGGTAGACAGCAACCACCCAGGGAGGTACTACCGTCCTGTGGTAGTAGGTTGGTAGACAGCAACCACCCAGGGAGGTACTACCGTCCTGTGGTAGTAGGTTGGTAGACAGCAACCACCCAGGGAGGTACTACCGTCCTGTGGTAGTAGGTTGGTAGACAGCAACCACCCAGGGAGGTACTACCGTCCTGTGGTAGTAGGTTGGCAGACAGCAGCCACCCAGGGAGGTACTACCGTCCTGTGGTAGTAGGTTGGCAGACAGCAGCCACCCAGGGAGGTACTACCGTCCTGTGGTAGTAGGTTGGTAGACAGCAACCACCCAGGGAGGTACTACCGTCCTGTGGTAGTAGGTTGGTAGACAGCAACCACCCAGGGAGGTACTACCGTCCTGTGGTAGTAGGTTGGTAGACAGCAACCACCCAGGGAGGTACTACCGTCCCGTGGTAGTAGGTTGGTAGACAGCAGCCACCCAGGGAGGTACTACCGTCCCGTGGTAGTAGGTTGGTAGACAGCAACCACCCAGGGAGGTACTACCGTCCCGTGGTAGTAGGTTGGTAGACAGCAACCACCCAGGGAGGTACTACCGTCCCGTGGTAGTAGGTTGGTAGACAGCAGCCACCCAGGGAGGTACTACCGTCCTGTGGTAGTAGGTTGGTAGACAGCAGCCACCCAGGGAGGTACTACCGTCCTGTGGTAGTAGGTTGGTAGACAGCAACCACCCAGGGAGGTACTACCGTCCCGTGGTAGTAGGCTGGCAGACAGCAACCACCCAGGGAGGTACTACCGTCCCGTGGTAGTAGGTTGGTAGACAGCAGCCACCCAGGGAGGTACTACCGTCCCGTGGTAGTAGGTTGGTAGACAGCAACCACCCAGGGAGGTACTACCGTCCCGTGGTAGTAGGTTGGTAGACAGCAGCCACCCAGGGAGGTACTACCGACCTGTGGTAGTAGGTTGGTAGACAGCAGCCACCCAGGGAGGTACTACCGTCCCGTGGTAGTAGGTTGGTAGACAGCAGCCACCCAGGGAGGTACTACCGTCCCGTGGTAGTAGGTTGGTAGACAGCAGCCACCCAGGGAGGTACTACCGTCCCGTGGTAGTAGGCTGGTAGACAGCAACCACCCAGGGAGGTACTACCGTCCCGTGGTAGTAGGTTGGTAGACAGCAGCCACCCAGGGAGGTACTACCGTCCCGTGGTAGTAGGTTGGTAGACAGCAACCAGCAATCCTACCATCATGTAAAATAATTAACAGATTTCCGTTACACGCTCACTTGGTAGGATGGTAGTACCTCCCTATACTACCGTTATATTATGTATATTCTATTATAACACACATCATACCATGGTTTTTTCTTACCCTGAATTCTGTTTGTTATATATCAAATTATCATCCATGGTGATGGGGTGGTAGTGGATTATCATTATTTAGTAAAACTGGATTAATTAACAGTTTGTAACTAAACTGTTTTTTATGATAATTACACAGTGGGAACACCAGCAGTGTATTGCTAAACTATTCTGTATGATAGTTACACAGTGGGAACACCAGCAGTGTGTTGCTACACTATTCTGTATGATAGTTACACAGTGGGAACATCAGCAATGTGTTGCTACACTATTCTGTATGATAGTTACACAGTGGGAACATCAGCAATGTGTTGCTACACTATTCTGTATGATAATTACACAGTGGGAACATCAGCAATGTGTTGCTACATACTATATTACTGGAATATGATTAGTTTACACAGTGGGAACATCAGCAATGTGTTGCTACACTATTCTGTATGATAATTACACAGTGGGAACATCAGCAATGTGTTGCTACACTATTCTGTATGATAGTTACACAGTGGGAACAAAAGTTAGCTGTGTTTCCCTGTCGTATTCCATCACACAGGCGCTAAGAATCGACCCCTGCAATCACAAATAGGTGGGTGAAGAAATCTTTCAGCCTGAGATGGGAAACTTCAGTAATGTCAACCTGAGCTGAGAGATTATCTGTAGTTGCTTCCGGAGGTCGCTGCGTCTCAGATCGATCAAGCTGTTAACGTCCACCGTCTGCAGTCCAGCATGTGCAACACAACCCAGTTAATCAGGAACAGTTCTGAGGAACCTGTCGAGTTCCCTCTTGAAGACGGCTAGGTGTTTTCTCTCAGTGTACTCACCGCTTCTATGCTTGTTATTAGAGGTATCCTGCACCGTCTGTCAAGCCTCTTGCTTTCGTAAGTAGTAATTTCGGTGTGCAGGTTTGGTGCCCATCCCTCCAGTATCTTCCAGGTATATATTATGATGTATTTTTCTCACCTACGTTCTTTGGAGTTCTGGGAATTCAAGCACCTCCAGTAACTTAGGTGTTTGAGCTATACAAGCTGTGAAAATTCTCTCTTCTTTTTCCAGTTTCTCCTACCATGAAGGAGGCTGTTAGTACACAGCAATATTCCAGCTTGGAGAGAGTCAGTGACCTGAAGAGAGTCATCACTGGCTCGGCATATCTTGTTTTGAAGGTTCTAGTTATCCAACCTATCATCTTTTTTGCAGTTACGATAATAATATTATGGCGCCCAGGTCTTGAACTCCAATCTCATTCTTATTTCCTCATTTCTTCCGTGACGTAATAACTGAAATTTGTTCTTATTGAACATGATATTGTTGCCAGTGGTCCACTGGAAGACTTGGTTTATGTCAGTGGTCCACTGGAAGACTTGGTTTATATCAGTGGTCCACTGGAAGACTTGGTTTATATCAGTGGTCCACCGGAAGACTTGGTTTATATCAGTGGTCCAATGGAAGACTTGGTCTATATCAGTGACCCACTGGAAGACTTGGTTTATATCAGTGGCCCACTGGAACACTTAGTTTCTATCAGTGGTCCACTGGAAGACTTGGTTTATAACAGGGGTCTACTGGAAGACTTGGTTGATATCAGTGGTCCACTGGAAGACTTGGTTGATATCAGTGGTCCACTGGAAGACATCAGCTTGGAGGTTGGCAGTGTCTTCTATGGATGACACTCATCTCATACAGATTCCAGTGTTGTCATCAAAGGATGACACAGTGCTATAACTGCATGTCTCTGTCTATGTCAGATATAAGAATGAGGAAGAGAAGTGGGACGAGTACCCTGCCTTGGGGAGACACAACTATTCACTCTAATAGCCCCTGATTTCACTCTGTTTACAATTACTCTTCGTGCTCTGTGTGTCAGGAAGTTAAATGTCCATCCTAGTCTGAAGCGGGAGATCTCAGTAGGGCAATGAGGATATTGTCAAGTATTCCATTAAAGATTCAGCAGCCACGGTAACTTCAAAGCTTTCAGCAGTGGAGAGGAGAAAGGAGGGAAGGGAGGGAGGGAGAGACGCAGGGAGGGGAGAGACGCAGGGAGGGGAGAGACGCAGGGAGGGGAGAGACGCAGGGAGGGGAGAGACGCAGAGAGGGAGGGACGGGAGAGGTGCAGGGAGAAAGGGAGGGAGGGAGGCTTTCAAAGAACCACTTGGGACAATCTGGAACATAAAAGACCAATCAGAGGAATTCCGGAGAGTGAGGGTCACGCTCTGTGATAACGCCCACCCCCACACTCACGTCCACCTCCACGCCTACCCACAGCCGCCCATGGGCACGATTGTATCCAGTCTTATTAGAAAAATCGTTGGCCAGCTTCCCACTCGTCAGACCCACACGTCAGACCCACACGTCAGACCCATACGTCAGACCCACACGTCAGACCCACACCTCACTCCCACACATTACACCCACACGTCATACCCTTTCAACCTTATCACATAATCACACACTAGAGATCAGACTTCCCTGAAAGACACTGAACGCTGCCCTATAATAATTCATCCATAATTCTCCGCGTAATTTGAAGATAATTCATGAACTTCAAAGAGTAACTTGAAAAAAATATATAAAACTCTCATTTACCTGTGAACACGGAGGATTGAATCCTTTATATATTATATATATATATATATATATATATATATATATATATATATATATATATATATTTTTATAATATATATATATATATATATATATATATATATATATATATATATATATATTATATATATATATATATTATATATATAT